TGTTTTTCGATGCCCAGGTGTAGTCCCCACTGTGCGCGTTGTGAGAATCGTCCAGCTCGTCCAGTGTGTGGTCGGTACTGTACCATGCAGCCAAAAACTCGTAACATTTTTGAATTGCCCAATTTTCTTGTCTACAGCAAATGCTGTGATGCGTTGTTCAGAAGCGAGGATGACGAAAGCAAGTTGTGCAACAGCACAGCGTGGTCCATCGCCTCAGGCCACTGATGGTTGGGTAGCCGCATGCCACGTAGCAGCTTGCGCATGTTGTTTTGGATGGTCCTGCTCATTCTTTCTGCCACGCCTTGCTGCCAATGAGCGTAGGGAAGAGAAATGAGTCGCTTGATGCTCTCTCCGCCAAGTATTGCTGCGCTGTGACTGATATTCTCCTCCTCCGTCTGACTGAAAGCTTTTTAGCTTCACTCGTGATTCTCTTTCTGCTACTGGGAGCCAAGTGACAAATGCTTTGAACGCCATGTCGCGACTCGGAAGGTTGAGTTGCCAGACGTATCTGGTGGCGGCGTCGATGAAAGTGATTACGTAGTTGTATGCTCCTTGTCCGCATTCGCGGGTGTACAGTATGTCACTGTAGACCTTCTCCAGTGGTGCGCATGCTGGCGCGCTCAGGTTGTGGTGAGAGACGAACGGTTGATGGGGTAAGTCGGCTTCAGGGCAGGTAAAGCAGGTTCCGCGGACTCGTTGAAGTTCTCTGCCGTCGGGTAAAAGTAGTGAGTCTTTATCGAGCACTTCTGCTCTTATCGTGTTGTTCAGTGTCGTGTTATTGGGATGCCCTAACCTTTGATGCCATAATGATTCGTCGGCGTGATGTCCAGGTGAACATTTGTATAGGTCGGAGTTGGAGTAAAAACTTGCAGTGATGTTGGTGCTTCTGTGAACTCGCGTGGGGCGGGAGTCAACTATTGAGTGGGAGTCGGTGTGGTGTCGGTGACGGGAGTTGGTGCTGATGAAGAGCTGGCGATTGGTGGTGGTGCTGTTGTTGTTGCTTCTGCTTCTGTCGGTGTCGCTGCTGCTGTTGTTGTCTCTGCTGCTGCCGATGTTGATGTTGATGCTGTTGTCTGCTGCTGTTGTCTGTTGAATCACTGCTAACACCCTTGTCCGTTCTGCTTCAGGTATGGTGTGCGAGTACCAGAAACCTCCGGGGCTGAAGTCCGGGTCGAGATCTGGTGGGTGCGACCAGGTAGTGAAATTGACGATCGCGTCGCTGTCAGCTGTTCCTTGATCTGGAACGAAATCAAGAACGAAGACGTTGTTCTTCAGGACCGCTTTGCCGATGTAAAGTCCTCCCTTCCCGTTGTACAGCTTGAACTCCTGAGTGGTGCTGTCGGCTTCAAGGTGAATCCCTTTTGCCATGAGCTGGCTAACGCTGAGTAAGTTGTAGCCCAGTCCTTCTACAATCAAAACCTTTGACATCTGTAAAACGACGTTAGTCTCGCGGGACTAAAGTTGAACTACTCCTTGTCGCCGTGTGCGCAGGTTCTGGTTGTTGGCGACGGTGATCACGTCTTCCCGGTTGAGGTGTTGTTCTCGGTGAACGAAGCGATTTGACGAGCATATGTGTTGTCCGCAGCAGGTGTCCTAGAACCAAGTATCTTGACCGGACGGTTTGCTCTGTATGATAGCTGTGAAGGGCTTCACGCATGTGTGCGATGCCGAATACGACGAGACGTACTCGCCGGTGAGTAGCTTCGTCACGCTGAGGATCTTCCTCAGCATCGTCGCCGTCCTCGACCTCAACCTGATGCAGCTCGACATGAAGAACGCTTTCCTGCATAGCGAGCTTGACAGGGTGCTCTACATGTACAAGCCGGACTACTTCGATGATGGAACCAGCCGGGTGTGTAAGCTGCTGAATAGCCTCTACGGGCTGAAGCAGTCGCCGCTGCTGTGGTACAGGGCACTCGACGGTGTGCTGCTGGGCGTTGGCTGGAAGAAGAGCCAGGTCGACAAGGCGCTCTACTTCAAGGCTGGCGACAACGGAGTGACCTGCTGGGTGTTGGTCTACGTCGACGACCTGTTCGCCGCCAGCAGCAGCCCGCCGATGCTGAAGGAGCTAAAGGAGCTGCTGGAGGCTGCCTTCGAGCTGCGCAAGATTTCGCCGATCGTCAAGTACCTCGGGCTGGAGATCATGCGCAACAGGCCAGCGAGGAAGCTGTGGCTTCACCAGCAGGGCTACGCCGACAAGCTGCGCAGGCGCTTCATCGACGAGGAGCTGGGGGGTCGAGTCCTGAAGGCGTCGGTCTCGGTCGACGCCTACGCCGAGCTGACATTCGACGACGAGGAGGCGCAGTAGCGCGAGGAGGAGGAGTACCGGCAGAAGGTTGGCTCGCTGCAATTCGCGGCGACGACGATGAGGCCGGACATCGCGTTCGCCTGCAGCAAGCTGGGGAGTGGCCTCACGGTGAGGAGCGACCAGCATTGGCGTGAGGTTGATCGTTGCCTCGCCTACCTTGCTGACACCCGCGACACCGCCCTGGAGTTCGGCGGTGGACCAGAATCGCTGGAGCTGATCGGCTACGTGGACGCCGACGATGCGGGCGACAAGCAGAACCGGACAAGCACGAGCGGCTACGTGTTCGTCTTCGGAGGGGCCGCGGTCTCCTGGTCGAGCCAGCGCATCAAGTGCGCGACGCTCTCCTCGACCAAGTCAGAGTACGTCGCGGCCACGGACGCTGGCAAGGAGGGGCGTCGACTTCGCTTCCTCGCAGAATTCAAGCTGCTCGACGCGGGGAAGCCGACCGTCCTCCGCGTGGACAACTAGTCGGCAATCATGGTCGCTGAGGGCTTGGGGCTAATGGGCAACCTCAAGCACATGGAGCGACGCTATGCTGGCTGCAGCACATGGTGAGGAGCGGGAAGTTCGTGCTGAAGTACATCTCGACCACCGAGCAGCCGGCAGACTTCCTGACAAAGGCGCTGCATTTTCCTGCTTTCAACCAGTGCTCTGTCACCATCGGCCAAGTTCGTCTGGCCGACGTCGGCGAAGGCGACGATGATGCACAACAGTAGGTGCCGTGCCCTTCTGCACGGCTGGTGCGGTGACGGCGTGCTGTGTGTGGGGTGCACGCCGAGGACGAGTTTTCTCCGTGGAATACTGCCGTGCGGGCTGGAGGCCCAAGCGTGAGCGCGGCAGGGGAGTGTTAACGGGAGTGGAGTGTTGGCCCCGCCCTCGCTTGGGCAACGCTGACGACTTGGTCGGATGTACGGGAGTAGCAGCCGACCGTCCAGAGGGCTCGGGCAAAGGACGGGGTGCAGGTTCTGAGACTGGGCCTCGTAAGAAATCAAGGCTCGTTCTTGGACCGTGGCTACAAGAGGGGTCGCCATCGGCATCGGCAGCGTCATCGTTGCTAGGCGCTGCCATGACTACGGGGTGGAGAACGTATGGATGCTAGACAAAGTGGCAATAAAAACAGTGGTTTTTGGAGTTGGTTGGAGGAATGGCTGAGTGTTGCGAAACTGCTTGACCCACTCTGCTGAGCTTGCTAAACCAACACGGCAAAGCATCAGGTCGCTTTGTTGGGTGACGCGGCTTGCATCTGTGCCATCGACAGTATGAATGTGGTCTGGGATTTGACTAAGTTCAGGCAGCATCACTGTACGTGATGCCAAGATTCCTTTCCTTGGCGTGCTGGATAACGAAACCTAAAAACGTGACCAATTAGATACATGACTGCTGCCAACGCATTTACTGCAGGGAAGGCCGCTTCGGTACTTGCGTGATTGACGGAAATCACGCTCCGACAGATTTCGGGAGTAGAGGGGGGGATGTGGGGGGGGGGGGGGGGGGGGGGGAGGGGGGGGGGGGGTGTCCTGTACGCCCTTAAGGGTAATCTTCGCTAAGGGAAAATTTACCCCAGAGCATCAGTGTTGCCTAAACCGTTTCACTGTCAAATCAGTGTAACACTAATCCCAAAAAAAAAAAAACCCAAACACATCAGTGCAAGCCCAAAAAAACACCATTCTAATCAGTATAGCTGTATGATTTACACTGATAAAATAGGCCCTGCTCATGGTGTTTCTACCTCCATGGCTACACGGGCCCACAAAAACGACATCACGCCAAAGAGGTTAAAGCGAATGCATGCTTGTTGTAGTGTAGGCATTAGATACAGAGGTGGTCAGCAACAACAAGCAACACATGTACGCACGTTATCCATAGCACATGACGGTGGTGAGAGAGTGCAGAAGGATGCTGCTAAGCTAGAATCGAGTTTCGATCAGTAAGCACTTACTCAGTTGTGATGCGAAGACCAGAACGACTACAACAACTAATCTCACTTGCTGTTGCTGATGCATCGACACTGCTCAATGGCTGTGGGGAGACCGTATTATTCCGGCTATAGGACCCGGGAGACATAGTTAGCATACATTTTTTGAAGACCCGGCAAAAAAAAATGCTAGGGTGGACATAGTTGGCATACATTTTTTGAAGACCCTGGTGTGCTTATTTGTCTAACAACGTTTTGTTATTTACCATGTAATGTTCGTTTTAAGGGGGGGGGTCTTATATTCGGTAACGAAGAACACCTCTTGTGTTGAAATCTCACGCGAGCGGCGCGTCAGATTTGTGTCAGAATTCGCGTCTGACACACATAAAGATGTCAGAATCGAAATCTGACACACACAGCGTGTCAGAATTTGAAATAATGCCTATAAAAGCTGATGCGCAATTGCATTTACGACTACTGTATGTCAAAGGGGGGTCTTATATTGTTTAGGGGCAAAAGGGGAGTCCTCACATTTTGGTACCAAAATAAGAGTCCCAGTACCCCATAGAGAGTCCTGTCCCGGGGGACCCTTTTACCCGCGGGTCCTATAGCCGGAATAATACGGTAGCAGCAGCATCATGAGCACTATGAGCAGCAGTGGCAGCAGCAGCAGTAGCAGCGCGGTAAATGGCAGCAACCATGAGGTCCCAGAATCCATCCACGTCCATGCTGCGAGCCACATGCGCATTGGCTGGTTGCTTGCTTTGCCTCCACACGTCACACACCGTCTGCCCTGCCGACAACTGAGGAAGGGAAATGCGGGAATGAGGAAGGCTGTGTGCGTGAAACGAGAGAGAAGGGATTGAGTGAAGTGAGGAGTAGCAGAGATAATGAAGACGACTGGCTGGGTTGGGCAAATGTGTTCTGCTTCGCGCGTTTCATGGGAAGATCAGGAATGGGGTTAAAGAGGTGCAACGGGGTGAGAAGCGGTGAAGAGCGGCTCACCTCACTCTTGGTCTCGATGTCCACTCGGAGGTGCTCCGTCTGCAGATAGATAGGTGGCAGAGCGATGGGAGGAGGGTATAGGGAAGTAGGAGTGGTGAGGAGCGGTGATAAGAGGTTAGGAGCGGCTCACCTCACTCTTGGTCTCGATGTCCACTCGGAGGTGCTCTGCCTGCAGCCAGGAGGTGGCAGAGGGATGGGAAGGAGTGAGCAGTGGTGGGGATGAGTGACAAGGCCGTAGAGCAGTGCAGCGTATGAGCAGGCGGTGCAGCGTATGAGCGGGCGGTGCAGCGTATGAGCGGGCGGTGCAGCATATGAGCATGCGGTGCAGCGTACGAGCGGGCGTACGAGCGGACGGTGCAGCGTATGAGCGGACGGTGCAGCGTATGAGCGTATGGTGCAGCGTATGAGCGGGCGGTGCAGCGTATGATCGGGCGGTGCAGCGCATGAGCGTGCGGTGCAGCGTACGAGCGGGCGGTGCAGCGTATGGGCGTGCGGTGCAGCGTATGAGCGGGTGATGCAGCGTGTGAGCGTGCGGTGTAGCGTATGAGCACGCGGTGCAGTGTATGAGCGGGCGGTGCAGCGTATGTGCGTGCCTGGAAACATGAGTAGATTGATGCTGATAGACCCTTCGTTGAAGAGAGATGGGGGTCGGATGACAAAGGCGAGAGCACAGGGGTCGTGCAGAAGGGGATGCCAAGGACATGGAAGCCAAAGACGTCCAAGTACGCGCTGGCCTAAAGAGCATTGAGGTGTATTTTGACGTCGAAAACCCCAAAGACGTCGCGCCTCAAAATACACCCCAAAGACGTCTAAGTACGTGCTGGCCTAAAGAGGCACGCACTAAAGAGGCACGCACTAAAGAGGCACGCATGGATTGGTGCTAACAGTCAGAACGTTTTATGGCCTATACCAGGAAACAAGATTCCGTACCTTGAAGAGAGCTGGAGCTATCACGAAGGCAACAGCACAGGGGTCGTGCAGAGGGGGGTGCTGGAAGCCAAAGACTTCGAGGTACGTGCGGGCGAAGAAATGCATCAACGCAGAGACTGTGATTGGGGGGAGGGGAGAGGGTAAGCAGAGGGAGATGAGAAGCTGATGGGGTCGTGCAGGGGGGGGTTGATGGAAGCCAAAGACGACGTGGTACGTGCGGTGCGGGCCAAGAAATGCATCAACGCAGAGACTGCAGGAGGGGGTGGGAGATGCTGGGGAAATGAGAGAGAGAGCATCAGAAGGGAGCGTGCAGCAGAGTGGGGGCTACGCGGGTGGATGGGCGTGCCATGAGGTATGTGCGAGCGAAAAAATGCGTTAACGCAGCAACTGCAGCTGGGGTGGGGGAGGAGAAGAGGATAAGCAGAGGAAGCACGCAGAGGGGGGTGGTGGGAGCCGATCGCTTTGGCAAAACGCACATCTCTGTGTTCTCGCCTAAGTTGGATATTACGCGTACGTTTATGTACGTTATACGTTACGTGTGCAGAGCTGAAAATTGTTTACGTTTGCGGGCAGATTACAACTATTTTTGGGCTGCTCAAACAACCTTGTGCCCTCGTTTTTGCTGTAGATCCGATTGATTCTTGCACAACCAAAGGGTGGTGAGGCGATGTTTCGACCACCGCCCATATACTTTGTGGTGATGGGTTTCATGTGTGCTGGTTTTTCACACCATTGCCACATTTTTTGTCTCGCATCATGCCTCTTGTCCCGCTCCTGTAGTTGACAGCCCTTCTTGGCATTTTTTTTCCCTGCCCAGATATATGTTACGCGTATTTACGCGCACGTACGCGTACGTTTACGTTTACGAGTAATATTACGATTACGCGGGTCCAAAAACGTACGGACCCAACTTAGGTTCTCGCCCTATTACAGTCAAGGCAGCTGGCAGCGCTGGCAGCAGGTGTGAGGCTAGTGGAACGGCCAGCAGCTGTAGCAGCGTATTATGAGTCGACTCAGAGCTCACCCGTTTGCCGTAGTTTTCTCCCCCTATAGCAGCCAACACACCCGCCTGCGCTGGCAGCGGGAGCTGTTAGGCTGGCATCGGCAGTTGCAGCGGCTACAGCCGTAGCAGCACCATTGGTGATTTGGGTGGCATTAGCAGCAGGGGCGGATGGGGTTGCTAAGGAAGGAGGAGGGGGAGTGGCTTGAGCGGAGGAGGGGGTGGGATGAGTGGAGGAGGGGGTGGGATGAGTGGAGGAGGGGGTGGGATGAGTGGAGGAGGGGGTTGGATGAGTGGAGGAGGGGGTGGGATGAGTGGAGGAGGGGGTGGGATGAGTGGAGGAGGGGGTGGGATGAGTGGAGGAGGGGGTGGGATGAGTGGAGGAGGGGGTGGGATGAGTGGAGGAGGGGGTGGGATGAGTGGAGGAGGGGGTGGGATGAGTGGAGGAGGGGGTGGGATGAGTGGAGGAGGGGGTGGGATGAGTGGAGGAGGGGGTGGGATGAGTGGAGGAGGGGGTGGGATGAGTGGAGGAGGGGGTGGGATGAGTGGAGGAGGGGGTGGGATGAGTGGAGAAGGGGGTGGGATGAGTGGAGTGGAGGAGGGGGGTGGGATGAGTGGAGGAGGGGGTGGGATGAGTGGAGGAGGGGGTGGGATGAGTGGAGGAGGGGGTGGGATGAGTGGAGGAGGGGGTGGGATGAGTGGAGGAGGGGGTGGGATGAGTGGAGGAGGGGGTGGGATGAGTGGAGGAGGGGGTGGGATGAGTGGAGGAGGGGGTGGGATGAGTGGAGGAGGGGGTGGGATGAGTGGAGGAGGGGGTGGGATGAGTGGAGGAGGGGGTGGGATGAGTGGAGGAGGGGGTGGGATGAGTGGAGGAGGGGGTGGGATGAGTGGAGGAGGGGGTGGGATGAGTGGAGGAGGGGGTGGGATGAGTGGAGGAGGGGGTGGGATGAGTGGAGGAGGGGGTGGGATGAGTGGAGGAGGGGGTGGGATGAGTGGAGGAGGGGGTGGGATGAGTGGAGGAGGGGGTGGGATGAGTGGAGGAGGGGGTGGGATGAGTGGAGGAGGGGGTGGGATGAGTGGAGGAGGGGGTGCAGAGGGGGCAGTGAGGAGGACAGGAGGAGATGTGAGCAGCGACTGATGGGTAGAGCAGGGCCGTGTGCGTGACCTGAAGGGGGAGGGCGGAGAGGTGGAACGGGGTGTGCAGGGAATAAGGGGGGGCAGCATGAGTGGAGGAGGGGGCAGTGAAGAGGACAGGAGGAGATGTGAGCAGCGACTGATGGGTAGAGCAGGGCTGTGTGAGTGACCTGATGGGGTAGGCAGGGGTGGTGTGCGGTGGGATGGGGGAAAAGGAAGAAGGAAGCAGGGTGAAGTGGAGTGGGGCAATGCATGACGGTGATGATTCAGTTGCTTGTAGCTGTTCAGCATACCTCCAGTGGCACCGTAAAGAGAGGGCAGCCACCGGTGAACACAATTCTGGCCGACTTAACAAGGGAATGAACATGGTTACAGGAATTGGGATTGCACAGGGCACCCGCTGTTGAACACAATGTGGGTGTTCCCATGGGTATCATGGTATGTGTATGAAGACGGGTATGAGTGAGTGTGGGAGTTAGGTCAGTGCTATGCATGCGGTTCAGCATGCGGTTCAGGATACCTCCAGCATGCGGTTCAGGATACCTCCAGCATGCGGTTCAGGATACCTCCAGTGGAACCATTGTGAGCGGGCAGCCGCTGTTGAACACAATCCTGGCTGCCTCAGGATCGCACTGGAGGGGATCGGAGGGGAGGGGAGGGGAGGGGAGGGAGGGGAGGGGAGGGGAGGGGAGGGGAGGGAGGGGAGGGGAGGAGGGGAGGATAAAATGAGGAGGATAACATACGCAGCTTAACAAGCGTAGCTCAGCATACGCCTAGCCATATTTTTTTGTAAATCTGGAATGCGAAATGCATGAACGCACTAGTATGCGTCCCACCATTCCAACCCAGCCTACTCCACCGCACCGCACCCCAGTCCATCGCACCTGAATGTTAAACTCCGCTACTGGGCCTGCCACAGTAATGCAAGGCAAGCAGACACAAGTGACGTGGGTGATTAGAGAGATAAAAAGAGAGATTGAGAGAAATAAATATATGCGGATGCGAGAGCAGGAGAGAGAAAAGTGCGATGGCAGGCAGGCAGTGCGAGGTGAAGAAATTTTCTTAGGGACATTGGACACAGTATGTGGGCTAAGGACGAAGGTGTAAGGTGATGCATGGAGATGCAAAGAGGTGCAAGGTGGTGCAACGAGGCCTAGGCCTTAGAGCTCATTGCACTACATACCAGTGTTGCCCAGGCCGAGAGCCCCTCCTGTGGGGCGATGAGGGAGAGGAATGGAGGACGAAGAGAGAGAGGAGAGGCACGGGAGAGAAGAGTCAGGGGAAGGACGGAGTGAGGGAGAAGCGGGGAGGAGAGGGACATGACAGTAGGGAGAAAGAATGGGGCGGGAGGAATAAGGCAGATGAGGGGAGGAGGAATAATGAATAGAGAGGGAGGTGGAATAAGGCAAAGTATGGTAGGAGAAACAAACAGTGCGGTGAGAAGCGGTTGCAGTGGGTGGCACGCACCCATGATGACAATCTTGGTGCGTTGATCCGTGTCGTCGTGTTATGGATGACGCGAGAAGGATGTGAAGATGTAAGCATCGATGAGCGGGAGGGGAGAGGGGAGAGGGGAGAGGGGAGAGGGGAGAGGGGAGAGGGGAGAGGGGAGAGGGGAGAGGGGAGAGGGGAGAGGGGAGAGGGGAGAGGGGAGAGGGGAGAGGGGAGAGGGGAGAGGGGAGAGGGGAGAGGGGAGAGGGGAGAGGGGAGAGGGGAGAGGGGAGAGGGGAGAGGGGAGAGGGGAGAGGGGAGAGGGGAGAGGGGAGAGGGGAGAGGGGAGAGGGGAGAGGGGAGAGGGGAGAGGGGAGAGGGGAGAGGGGAGAGGGGAGAGGGGAGAGGGGAGAGGGGATAGGGGAGAGGGGAGAGGGGAGAGGGGAGAGGGGAGAGGGGAGAGGGGAGAGGGGAGAGGGGAGAGGGGAGAGGGGAGAGGGGAGAGGGAGGGGAGAGAGGGCAGAGAGGAGAGAGGGAGAGAAACGGATGTAGGTGGAACAAGGAGGAAAGTGAGGAAAATGTGAGATCCTGAGGTAGGAAGGAGGTATGCCATTAGAAACAAGCAAAAGGGGCCCTGGGGATGCACGGTGAGCAGCAGAGCAGCGTTGGTGATGGTGCATGTGCACACCAATGCCACACTCTCCCTCCGCCCCTCCCACAACCCTTCACCTGCAAAATCATAACAGCTGATCTACCCCCCACCCACTACACACTCCCCATTCCACCCACCACACACTCCCCATTCCACCCACTCACCTCGATCATGCTCTTGACTCGGGGATGCACGGTGAGCAGCAGAGCAGCGTTGGTGAGACTGCCCGTACACACCAGTGCCACCCTCTCCCTCCGGCCCAGCCAGATTTCCTTCTTTACTCCCCCCACAACTGTAGCGGTGGTACCGACAGCAGTGCCAACAGCAGCAGCGGCTGCAGCATGGGCTGTGTCAGCAGCAGCAGGGGGATCACCGATTACCACCGCTGCCCCATCTGCCACTGTGCCATCTGTCATTACACCATCTGCCACTGTGCCATCTGTCATTACACCATCTGCCACTGCCCCAGTCACCCCTGTCCCTTGATCTTCTTCATCCTCCCTTCTCCTCTTTGCTGGAGGCCCATCCGCTGCTGCCCCTCCTCCCGCCCCCCCTCCCACTGCCACATTCCCATTCCCATTTCCTGCAACTCCAGTGACACCAGCGACAGCGCCAACTCGTTTCTCCTTCCCTGCCCCTTGCTCGCCGTTCAAGCCACTTCGCTCTGCTCCCCTTTTCCACTCTCTCATCGCTGCCTGCCTCTCTAGAAACGCCTGACGAATGTGCCGGTACATGTGAGTCACAGTTGGCACATCCCCCTCCTCCCCAACCCCTTCTATCCCATCTCCCTCCCCTTTTTCGCCCCCATCCGCCCCTACCCCACCCGTTTCCCGCTCTAACTCCGCCACCTCCTCTGCCTCCTCTTCTGTCGTCCCCCATAGTGGTGTCTCCTCCCTCTCGCCTCTCTCCTCCCCATCCTCCTTCGTCCCTGCTCCTCCTCCCTTCCCTTTTCCCCGTCCCCCCTCCCCCTGCACCTCCCCTTCCCCCCAGTCGGGCCCATCCAGCCCTGATTCCCCGTGAATCTCCGCGCAGTGCTGCCTGGTGCGCATTAATGGGGAGGCCTGCCCGCAGAACACGGCTGGGGGAGGGAGGGTATTGGGGGTGCAAGGAGAAGTGGGGAGCAAGGAGGCAGGGGTTGGAAGGGAGGGGAGGGGCGGAAGGGGGCATGTGAGGGGGTGTCATGCCGTGGATCTCAGCGCAGTGCTGCCTGGCGCGCATCAGGGGAGACCTGTCCGCAGAACACAGCTGGTGGGAGCAAGGAGGGGAGGGGAGCCGGGAGGCAGGGAGAGGAAGGGAGGGGAGGGGCGCAAGGGGGCAAGGGGGACAATGCGAGCACCCCGTGAATCTCAGCGCTGTGCTGCCTGGCGCGCATTCAAAGAGGCGCGCCTACAGAGAGGCGCCCCTAGAGAGACGCCCCTAGAGAGGCGCCCCTAGAGAGGCGCCCCTAGACAGAGGCGCCCCTAGAGAGGCGCCCCTAGAGAGAGGCGCCCCTAGAGAGAGGCGCCCCTAGAGAGAGGCGCCCCTAGAGAGAGGCGCCCCTAGAGAGAGGCGCCCCTAGAGAGAGGCGCCCCTAGAGAGAGGCGCCCCTAGAGAGAGGCGCCCCTAGAGAGAGGCGCCCCTAGAGAGAGGCGCCCCTAGAGAGAGGCGCCCCTAGAGAGAGGCGCCCCTAGAGAGAGGCGCCCCTAGAGAGAGGCGCCCCTAGAGAGAGGCGCCCCTAGAGAGAGGCGCCCCTAGAGAGAGGCGCCCCTAGAGAGAGGCGCCCCTAGAGAGAGGCGCCCCTAGAGAGAGGCGCCCCTAGAGAGAGGCGCCCCTAGAGAGAGGCGCCCCTAGAGAGAGGCGCCCATCAGAGCGAGCAAGCTTTCCTTGCGAAACAAGCTGCGGCCGCCCGACAGCCGCCCGACAGCTGCCCTGCAGCCGCCCAGATCGGAGCCAGCCCCAACAGCACTCACGAATGTCGGGTCGCGCGCACATCAGCAGCACCCGCCTCGCATTGATTGTCACTTTCTGCACCTAGCGCAGTTGGGGGTTGCAGGGGCGGGCGGCAGGATGTGAAATTGGGTCTAGGAGTGGCATTGAGATGGGACTTGGCGCTCTGTTGCTGCACGGATTGAAGAGGACAGAGCAGGTTAGGCAAGAAGGAGCGCGGAAGGTTCTAAATGACACGTGGAACTCACTGATTGGTTGCCGTGAACAGTGCTGATGCCAAGCAGGTGCAGCGACGGGGTGTGGGCGGCAAGAATAATGGCCATGGCGTCATCGTGGCCTGCACCACGTCAGCATGACATCAGCATTGCATGGAATGAGTCAGCAGAACGCTACCTCCGCAGAAAGTCACGTGTCGCATAGAGAGCACGATGCGCTCGTAACCACGGCCTGCGCTGGGCGCGGCAAGATAGCGGATGCGCTGCGGACAGTAAAGAGAATGCGGTGGACGGACCATCCGTCGCACATGGATCACTGTCCAACCACACTGGGCGGGGCGAGACCATGGCTGCGAGACTGGCTGCGGACGGCCACTGCCACGGCGACTGAAGGCTGTTCCTGAAATTCTAACCAATCCCCATGCGCCCCCCACTCGCACCTGGATCACAATCTAACCACACGGGGCGCGGCGGGTCCATGGCAGCAAGAATCAGCGGCCGAATTTCACGGCGATTCCGCGGACGAGCGCAGCAAATGCGGGTGGCGATGAATGCAATGGCATTCGCGCGAGAGGCAAAAGGAAAAAAACTGTACTGGACGAGCTGCGGAGACTGGGAAAAGGTGAAGTGGAGGAGAGGGGTATCGATCCCCTTACCTGTCGCATGCGAAGCGATCGCTCTACCATGTGAGCTACACCCCCACATTTAGAGTACCATATGGATTTTATCCTTCGTCGTTCTTGGTCCCTGCTATACCCTTCTACCATTTTCTATCCCACAGCTCCTCCTCCCCCACCCCTCTCCGTTTCCACATTACCCATACCTCGTGTCTTCTACCCTTTCCACGTCCTCAGCCCCCTTCTCCCGTCTTTTGTCACACACGTCCTGTCCTTTTACTCTCCAACCCCTCTCCCATCTCCCATGAGGCCATCCAAAGGCAAATGCTCAAAACCGGTAGCAACTGGCTTACGGTATGTGTAATGTAATCCACATCAGCGTTCCTGTACAATTTCAACGATGCTACTGGTAGCACGAATGCTCTCTAGTTGCACCACCACTGTCGCACCTTCCACCCGGGTGAAGTGTGCCGAGCCAACCAAGAAAGCGAGCAGCTCATCCTGCACAAGGTAAGCTGAGCTGAGCTGCTGAGTCCCTGCCAGCTACGGTACCCTCCTGGGCACCAACCAAGCCAAGCCAGCCTTGCAGAACTATCCAAATTCACTGTGGCGCCCTGTGGTTCACTGGGGTCCCCTGTGGTTTACTGTAGCGCCCTGTGGTTCACTGCGGTGCCTTGTGGTTCACTGTGGCGCCCTGTGGTTCACTGCGGTGCGCTGTGGTTCACTGCGGTGCCTTGTGCAGTCGCAGCAGCAGCGAGCTGACCACCACCAGCACAGAGCTCCCAGCCATGAGGCCCCCTGCAGTTGCAGATGGGGGAAGGAGGGAGAACGGAGAGGGAAGCGGGGAGGGGGCAGGGGAGAAGAGGAAAGAGGTTAAGGGGGAGAGGGGAGAGAGAGGAAGGTTAGTGCATGGAGAAGAGGAGACATGAGAGGAGGGCTTGCATGTTTGCTTCCACGACAGGATCGCGTTGGTGGTACAAAGGGTTGCAGTGGGTACTTTGAGCGAGATACCCAGCGAGAGTGAGCATGATAACCGTACCAGCGAGGGTGGGTGTGAGAGCAACATCGAAAAATGGGAGGAAGGTCCCAGCAGTGAGCGGCACAGTGCAACAGTTGTAGGCAGCTTGTGTGCTAACCATACCGGCAAGGGTGAGCATGATAACCATACCAGCGAGAGTGGGTGTGAGAGCAACATCGAAAGCCGGGAGGAAGGCGCCAGCAGCGAGCGGCACAGTGAGACAATTGTAGGCAGTTTGTGTGCTAACCATACCAGCAAGCGAGCGTGTGAGAGCGACGTGAGAGGCGGGCTTAGAATCGACCCCAAAGGCGTACCAGCAAGTGTGGGTGTGAGTGCGATGTCGTAGGCCGGGAGGAAGGCACCAGCAGCGAGGGGCACCGCAAGGCAGTTGTATGCCAGGGCCCATGCGAGGTTGAGACGCACTCGGTTCATTGTGGCCCGCGCTAGATGCACCGCCTCCACTAGCTGGAGGGGGAGGGAAGGGGAAAGCAAGGCAGCGCGGCACACACAAGGGGGAGGAGGGGAGGGGCAGTTGTAGGTGAGGGCCCACGCGAGGTTCAGACGGACCCGGTTCATTGTGGCTCGCGCTAGATGCACCGCCTCCACTAGCTGGTTGTGGGGGTTGGTGGGGGAGGCGGGAGAGGATAGATGGGAGGCAACACGGCATGCCAGGGAGGGGAGAGCAGAGGAAGAGGAGAGAGGAAGGGCAGATGGTGCGGGAGGCGCAAAAGAAGCAAGGAAGGGAGAAGGGAGGGTTCATGACGCGAAAGGCAGAGATAAGAGTTGAAAGCACGCGGGAGAGGTGGTGAGAGGGAGGGTGGAGCGGGGAGCGGGGAGGGGGGAGGTGGGGGTGAGCTGGCTGGGCAAGCCGGACAGCACGAGGTCAGGGGAGGTGGCCCAGGGGGAGGTACAAAATTTTTTGAGGCACCTCAAAGGTCGCACCCGGGGGAGGCACTGACTGCCACTTAGGCGCACCTGGGTGAGTCGGTTGCCGAGCAGCACAAGGTCAGCAGCGTCAGCAGCAGCACTCATGACAGCCGAGGTGGCACCTGGGGGAGGCACCGCCACGCCCACGTCTGCACGGGCCAGGGCGAGGGTGTCGTTGATGCCATCACCCACCTGGCATCAGTGGTGGGGAACAAGGCAGCGGTGGGGACATGAGTCAGCGGCACAATGAACGACGATGATGGCGCCCGCTCATACGCTGCACCGCACGCTCATACGCTGCACCACCCGCTCAGTGGCGGCTCTGCCACATCCACATGCTGCTTGCCTCTCACCATCCCCATTCCCTCTCCTCACCATCCTCCCCTCTCCCACCATCGCCCCCCTCTTCTCTCACCATCGCCACGCTGTGCCTGCGTCTCAGCACGCCCTCCCCCTATTCCTCCCTACTCACCCACTCCCACTCCCTTCCTCCTCTCTCTCTCACCATCGCCACACTGTGTCCGTCCCTTTGCATGCTCTCAATCGCCTCCGCCTTGCCCTCCGGCAGCAGCCTTCCGAGAACCTTCCCCTGGCCAGCAATGCCAACTGCCTCCGCCACGTGGCTGACTGCTGCCTGCCGGTCGCCTGAGAGCACAGCCGCTGACACTCCCAGCGATTCCAGCCTGCGCATGGGGAAGTGTAGGGGTGAGGGGGGAGGCATGGGACAGAGTCTTGTGACTTTCTAGGAGCTCAAAAAACGAACTGCCTGTGCCACGTGGGTCACTGCTGCCTGCCAGTCGCCCGACAGCACTGCTGCTGACACTCCCAGCGATTCCAGCCTGCGCATAGGGAGGGAAGGGTGGTGGATGGGCGGAGAAATCAGGGGAAGGAGGCTCTTTACTTGAGGCAGTCTACTCTTGAGGCACCTCAGAAACGAGCAGCCGCCTCTGCAATGCGGGTGATTGCTGCCTGCCGGTCGTCTGACAGCACAGCAGGCGACACTCCCAAGGATACCAGCCTGCGGACGACGAGGGGGAGGGAGACGAAGGGGGAAAAAAATATATTTAATTACAGGTGCTTCAAACATCAACCGCCTGTGCCACACGAGTCACTGCTGCCTGCCTACCCCCCGACAGCACAGCCGCTGACACTCCCAAGGAAGCCAGCCTGTGGAATGGGGGAGGAAGCAGGCAGGGAAGCCAGCCTGTGATTGGGAAAATGGAGGGTGCGGAGAGAGGCATGTGACTTCATGGCGCCCTCTTGAATCAACTGCCTCTTCTTCAGCACCCCTTGATGATTTTTCACTTGAATCGACACTCACTGACACAATCCCTCACATCTCCCACTCCAGCCCCACACGAATGGCTCTTCATCCGCTCCCCACCACTCACCGGCTCACTGTCTGCTGTGCCTCGGCGCGTAGCGAGTCGCTCACACAGATGCACCCCAGAATTCCGCCCACACTCCTCCCCTCCTCCGCCGCCCCCCTCCTCTCCTCCTCGCTCCTCGTTTCACCCACATACACAAACGTGTGGCTGCTGCTGCTATCCCTGCTGCCGCCATCCCCTCCCTCCCCACTCCCTCCAACGCCTCCACACTCCCCTCTCAACACCCCCTCCTCCACTCTCTGCCACCTCTCCTTCTCTCCTTCCACCTCACTCCCTTTCCCACTCCCTCCCTTCCCCTCCCTCTCCCTTGTCCCCCCCAAACAGTGCTTCGCCACCCAATCAAAGCCCCCCACGTGGATCTCTCTACCATCCACTAGAGCCACCACGCCCCGCCCGGGAACAGTGAGAGCCGACGAAACGGGCGGCAGCGGGGCGGCGGAGAGGCGGGCAGCGTGGGTGGTGATGGCGGCAGCTACTGGATGGCGGGTGGTGGCCTCTGCTGCTGCTGCCAAGCGCAGGAGAGAGACAGTGGCAGTGTCAGTGGCAGTATCAGCATTAGTAGCAACAGCAGTAGCAGTGGTGGTGGTGTGCCTGTGGCTTGACGCTTTGGCTGGGTCTTGGTGGAGGGAGGTGGAGTGCGATGGTGAGTGGTTGAGAGTGGTGGGCGGCAGGTGGGCTGCAGGCACCACAGCAGACACCTGGGGCTGTCCCGCTGTCAGCGTGCCGGTCTGGGGGAGGAGAGAGGCGGAGAGGAAGGACGTGACGAAGGGGAGGGTGAAGAGGAGGGAATGTGAGAAGAGTTTGTCAGCACAAGGAGATTGGCTGCGACTGGGATGAGCTAGTAGTAGGTGCTGCTTGCATTCTCTCTGGTCTAGTCTGGTAACTAGAGCCATCTGGTAACAACAATCAGGTGAGCTTGCCTCGCCTCGCCTCGTCTCACCTCAAATAGCGTGTCCCACTCACCTTGTCAAACGCCACCACATCGACCGCTGCGAGCCTCTCCAACACGTCTCCCCCGGGGAGGCCCAGCAGTAAGGAGCCATTGACTTTGCGTGGCACTGTTGTGTCGTAAAGAAAATGTTGTTGTAGGCTTGCTTGAATTACTGATAGATCTCACCTTGTCAAACGCCACCACATCGACCGCTGCGAGCCTCTCCAACACATCTCCCCCGCGCAGCAGCAGCCCCCTCCTCGCCCCTGCCATGCACAGCCACACACACACACAAGCATCCATGTGAATACGGTTTGGGAGGCGTGTCTAGAGTAGACTAATAAAACCACTTAGACTGCTGCCAGCCTCTCCAACACATCTCCCATGTGCAGAAGCAGCCCCCTCCTCGCACCTGCCATGTGCCATGCATGCACGCACACACGCCCGCATGCACACACGCCCGCATGCACACACGCCCGCACGCACATTCACCCATGCAAGCATATGAGTGCTGTGCGAGGCAGAGAATTCATGACACGACAAGGTATGGCATGGTTCGGCATGGTTCGGCACGGGTGGACATGGGTGGGCATGGTAGGAGAGAGGTGCGCTGCGCGGGGGAGAAAGTATGCTGCAGTTCGGACAGGTGCGGTGCGGTGCAGAGAGGCCGTACCCAAGGATGTGCCAACAAGGATGGCGGTGGGCGTGGCGAGGCCGAGTGCACAGGGGCAGGCCACCACCTGGGTGTGAGAAGGGGGGGGTTGGACAGGTATACGTGGGGTGGGGTCATGGGCTTGAGGATCATGTGGTTGGGGTGTGGGCGTGGCAAGGCCGAGCGCACATGGGCAGGCCACCACCTGTGGTAACAAGGGGGGCGATGGAACAGCCACACGTGGGGTCATGGGTTTGGTTTGGTGTGAACATGGCAAGGCCGAGTGCACATGGGCAGGCCACCACCTGGGGGATGGAAGGGGGAGGCCAATGAATGGGAGCGCAGCAGCAGGTGGCATTACGAGGAGTGGAAAGCAGGGGGGTGGGGATTGAAAGTAGAGTTGTGGTGATTGACAGTCGGATATGGAGGATGTTTCGAGTCGACTCAAAACACACCTGGAGGATAAGAGGAAATCATGTACGCTCGGCCAAGTCAACTTTTTGAGTCATCTGCTTTCTCACCAGCACACTGATTGCGAGTCTGAGGCTGAGCACGAGCGGGTCCGAGTCGTCGCCTGCAAAGTCTGATAGCAGCACTGCCGGGTACAGGTGCACCCCCACCGTGTACCTGGGGGGTTGCAGTGGGGGGGGAGGAGAAGGCGAGAAGAAGGTGGAGGAGAGGAGGTGGACATGCACGAGTCTGAGGCTGAGCACGAGGGGGTCTGAGTCGTCGCCTGTAAAGCCTGACAGCAGCAACGCTGGAGAGCGCTTTACTTCCTTTGTGTACCTGAGAAGAGAGCGGTGGAGACCGGTTGGACAACGAGGGAGCAGCATGCTGTGTCGGTAACAGACAGGTGGGCTGCGGAGGCCTTACTTCCATCAACTCGTGTTGTTTTAAGACAACGATACGAACCCCATTGGTTTGATGAGAGAGAGGAAGGAGAGCCTGGTTGAGTGCGTTTCTTAGAGAGCCAGCGTAATCGAATCTTCATTCCCTCTCACCAGCACCAAGTGAACATCTTCATTCCCACTCACCAGAATGCAAAGGTGGCAGCAGAGAGAGTCATGATGGTGAACACAAAGGGCCCTGCAATGGCGTCTGCCAGTCACTGCACGGGTGCTGTGTGCTCGGATTGTCATTGAGTGAATGTACTGATTCGTACTCACCAGAAGGCAAAGGTGGCGGCAGACAGAGTCATGATGGTGAACACAAAGGGCCCTGCAATGGCGTCTGCCAGTCGCTGCACGCACCGGTGCTGTGCGCCCTGATTCTCACTGAGGCAACAAATAGACAGCAGATCATGCTGTGAAAGTGTGCTGGTTCCCACTCACCAGAAGGCAAAGGTGGCAGCAGAGAGAGTCATGATGGTGAACACAAAGGGCCCTGCTATGGCATCTGCTAGGCGCTGCACCGGTGCTGTGCGCTGCTGTGCGTCCTCCACGCGCCGTGCCATCTCACACACGGCGCAGCTGGCGCCTGTTGCTGTGGCAGACACCACTATGGGCCCCTCCTGTTAAAGGAGCAAAGGGGGAAGGAAAAAAGGGGGCATGTGCTGCTGTTCATCCTCCACCTGCTGTGGATCCTCCACCCGCCGTGCCATCTCACACACGGCGCAGCTTGCTCCTGTGGCTGTTGCTGACACCACTATGGGTCCCTCCTGTTGGTGGGTAGGGGGAAGCGAGGCGAGGAGCACCGTAAGAGGAACGTGCGCTGCTGTGGATCCTCCACCCGTCGTGCCATCTCACACACGGCGCAGCTTGCTCCTGTTGCTGTCGCCGACACGACCATGGGGCTCTCCTGATGGAGGGGAAGAGAAGGATAGATGAGGGGAGGGAGTGCGGGATGAGGAGGATGCAGAGGCGTAGAATGGGTGGGAGCAGCGAGCGAGGCAGTCGTTTCATAGAGCAACACCAGCCTTCACCTCTCCCACAAGCTACGGGATGATTCGATTCGACGCACTCTTCACTCACCCACTTGACAGTTCCAGCAGCACGTTGCGCTTGGGCACTGTGGCCGCCTCTCCTGTTTGCAGTCACGGGTGTCTCTATCTTACCTGCAACGGCTACTCCCTTTGCCACGTGCCTCCACGCACGCACTCACCCAGTTGACAGTGCCAGCAGCAACAGTAGTCCCCCTGCGCTTGGGCACTGTGGCCGCCTCTCCTGTTTGCAGTGACTCGTCCACTGCACTGCGTCCACACTCCACCAAACCCTGGTGGGAGAAGGGGGGGGGGAAGAATGGATTGGAGCAGTCAAGGAAACTTGGGCAGCAACAGCAGTGCGGGCAGTAGCAGCAACAGCAGTGCAGGCAGTAGCAGCAACAGCAGTGCGGGCAGTAGCAGCAACAGCTATGATTTTTGGCGCTGTGGCCGCCTCTCCTGTCTGCAAAGACTCGTCCACTGCACTGCGTCCACACTCCACCACGCCCTGATGTGACGGAAGATGGAGGAGGAAGATGGAGGGGTTGAAGGGAGGGAGGAGATGGAGTAATTGAGAGTGCATGCATGGGATGACGTCACCTGTGTGTCACATAACCATTCTCTCACTTGTGGTTACGGTCACACCGCTATCTCTACGCACAGCCACCAGTCGTTACCGCCACGTCAGCACACAGCCACATCGATACAACCATGTCAACGCAACCATGTCAATGCAGCCACGTCAGCACAGTCACTCACGTCCACAGGGATGACGTCACCAGGCAGCACGAGCACCCGATCCCCTGGGCGCACGTGATTGGCCGGCACCTGCACCCACGCCGCCATGCTCAGCGCCAATCCCTCCCCTCCCTCCTCCTCACTCCCACTCTCCACCCCTCCTCCTCCCTCACTCAAACCCCCACTCCCCACTCCAAAGGCACCCAAAGAGGCCAGCAGTTCCTGGTTGCTGCCCTCTGCCCCCTCCCCCTGCTCGCTGCCCCCGGCGCTGTTGTCTTGCACTAACAGGCGAGCCGTGGAGGGCAATAGCGACTGTGCATGGGCACGGGATGAGGGTGGGGATAGGTATGGAGATGGAGACGGGTAGAGCGGTCAGAGAGGCATGAGAGGGGTGAGAGAGGTAGATTTGCTCCCACCTGCGTCCTCCCCCTGCTTGCTGCCCCCAGCGCTGTCGTCTTGCACTAGCAGGCGAGCCGTGGAGGGGAGCAGCGACTGGTGTATGGGCGATGGACATGGGGATGGGGAGAGCGGTGAGAGGGGTGAGAGGGGTGAGAAGGATGAAAGGGTGAGAGGGGTAAGGGGGGTGATGGGGTTGGGAAACCGGGAAACCGGGAAACCGGGAAACCGGGAAACCGGGTAACCCGGTAACCGGGTAACCGGGAAACCGGGAAACCGGGAAATCGGGAAATCGGGAAACCGGGAAACCGGGAAACCGGGAAACCGGGTAACCCGGTAACCGGGTAACCGGGTAACCGGGAAACCGGGAAACCGGGAAATCGGGAAACCGGGAAACCGGGAAACCGGGATACCGAGATACCGGGAAACCGGGAAACCGGGAAACCGGGAAACCGGGAAACCGGGAAACTGGGTAACCGGGTAACCGGGTAACCTGGAAACCGGGAAACCGGGAAATCTCATCGCTGCAGCTAAATCTCTCAATCTGCGAGCTGTCCTTCTCCTGTCCCTCCCCTCCTGTCCTTCTCCTTCCCCGCAGCATGGGTCTCCTCCCCCGCCCCGCCTCTCTCCTCGCCACCATCATCGCTGCAACCAAGGCCCAGGCCCTCAACCTGCGAGCTGTGCTTTCAACCACATGCCTTCCCTCCCTCCCCACAGCATGGGTCTCCTCCCCCGCCCCGCCTCTCTCCTCACCACCATCATCGCTGCAAGAGGTAAAGGGCCATGCGAGGCGTTCAAAACGACCAACGAAGCATGGGGGAATAAAGGAACAAGCAACAAGATAGAGTAACTGAAGAAGTCGCTTCGCCTTGAAGCCAAAGGCACAACACCCAGCTCAAGCATATAAATAAACTGAGAGAGGCATGAATTACCATGAGAGCATTGAGATCGGAGGAGGCTTGGGCCCTGGCAGAGGCCTCTAGGGATCGACCCAGCAGCACCACGGCCAGCAGCATCACCTGGCACGTGGGGGGCATTGAGGGGGGGAGTGAGACATGAATAACTCGGGGTTTGCATGATCTGCATGCATCACGCACTGCCCCATGCCCCCAATGCTCCCCACTCCTTCCATTCTCCCCATGCCCCCCATGCCCCCCATGCCCCCCATGCCCCCCATGCACCCCCGTGCCCCCCTCTGCCCCCATGCCCCATGCCCCATGCCCCATGCCCCATGCCCCATGCCCCATGCCCACCCGTACACTGTGCCATGTGCATGTGACTTGACTCCTTCATCGCTACTCACGGGTTCGTCAGTGAAGGAGGAGTCGAGGCCCAGGTCTGGGTTCAGCTGTGGTGGGGTGAATGCATACGTATGCAGCATGCACTATGCTCGGTTGCCCAGTGCCCCCATGCCCCGTGCTCCATGTGCCTCTGCACGTTGCTTTACACTCACAGGCTCATCAGTGAAGGAGGAGTCCAGGCCCAGGTCTGGGTTCAGCTGTGCCACCTGCAGAGGTGGGAGGGGGGAGATGGATGCAAGGTGGGGAGGGCTGGACTGGTTCAGTAAAGGAGGAGTCGAGGCCCAGGTCTGGGTTCAGCTGTGCCACCTGCACGCACAGGGGAGGAAGGAGGGGATGGAGGAAAGGGGGGGGAACACAATGGGTGCACGTCGAGTGGATGAAAAAAGGTGCTTTTGAGGTATGTAGGCCGAGGGGGGGGGTTGTGGAAGTAAGGGAGGGGAGTGGAGGGGGTAATGACCACACCGGTGCATAGGCAGAAAGGGAGGCGAGGAGGGGGAAAGAAGAGCGGAAGTGGGGGTAGTAAGGGAGGGGAGTGAAGAGGGGGCACAGACCACTCCAAAGCAGAATGCAGCGAGGGATGTGAGGCCCACTAGGGAGAGGGGGGGAAGAGGAGGAGGGCGGATGGAGTAAGGGAGGGCAGTGGAGGAGGGGGGCACCTACCACACCAATGCAGAAGGCAGCGAGGGAAGCGAGCCCAACGAGGGAGTTCATGTTGGGCGAACGGCGCAGCAGCGCCTTCATGCCGTCCACAAGCAAGTCTGGGGAATGGGGTTGAGAGAGAGAAAGAGGGGGGGTGGTTAGGTTGGGGGGAGCCCTCTACAAGCAGGTCAATGCGCCCCACACAACACCTATTACCCACGAGGGCGTTCATGTTGGGCGAACCACGCAGCACCGCCCTCATGCCGTCTACCAGCAGTCTGGGAAGAGGGGTTGTGGGGAATGGGGGTGTAAGGGTGAAGGGGCGCGAGGAGGAGAGAGGGTAGTTGCACAGGGCATGTAGAGACGGGCCGAGATGGATGAGAAAAGGAGTGGGCGATGCAGAAGTTGATGGGGAGGAGTGATGCCATTGTAAATCTACCACCAAGTACTGCCATAGTATGTACAGGCTACAGGGTAGGCCAACCATCCCAGCATGCGACACACACAGTACCTCTGGCGGGGCCCAGCAGAGCGACGGCAGCAATGGCAGAGCGTGCCCTCACATCGTCCAGCACCGCCATCCATGGGCCTGGCAAGCAGACAGGTGGACGAGGGGCACGGGGGAGAATGGGAGCAGGCAGACGGAGGAGGAATGTGGCTTTTAGGGATGCAGCCGAGCCACAGCAGCGACGGCCGGGTGTGCTCTCACACTGTCCAGCACCGCCATCCAGGGACCTGGCGCAGAGGCAGGGCGAACAAGGGAGGGACACAGGCGTGCAGGGAGGGAGGCAGGCATCAAAGGAAAGAGGGAAATTTGAGAGCAAAACTAAACAAAAATGGCAAAACTAAAGGGAAACGAAAGGGGGAAAAGAAGGGGCGGAGGGCGAGGGCAAGGAGGTATGTGTATTCAGTATGCATTTGTGAGTACGGAGCAGCCTGTGTGTGTGCTCTGTACCATGTGCGAGTGCATGTAGCCCCATGCCGTGAAACAGGTGTCCCACGTGGTGTGCGCAGCACAGCCCCGCCAGCACGCCCGCCACCGCCACGTCCACGCGCGCACGCGCCACTGCGCGCTGCCTGCGCTCCGCCACCTCCCTCCGCCGCGCCTCCGCTGGTGGGGGGTGCGGGGTGTGTGGGGGGAGGAGTGTCTAAACACGAGGGGAGGGGGGGTGCACGAGTGCACGTGCGTGGGCCACTGCCCGCTGCCTCCGCTCCACCGCCTCCCGCCGCCGCGCCTCCGCTGCTGGGGGGGATGTGGGGTGTGTGGGGGGAGGAGTGTCTAAACACGAGGGGAGGGGGGGTGCACGTCCACTGCGCGCTGCCTCCGCTCCGCCACCTCCTTTCTCCGTGCCTCCGCTCCGCCGCCTCATTTCTCCGTGCCTCCGCTCCAGCGCCTCCTTTCTCCGTGCCTCCGCTCCGCCGCCTCCTTTCTCCGTGCCTCCTCTCCGCCGCCTCCTTTCTCCGTGCCTCCGCTGGTGGGGGGTGCCAGATGTTGGGGGGCCGTGGGCGGACGGGAGACCATGGAGAAGGAAAGTACGAGGTGGTAAGCGAAGGGCGAGGGGGCGGCGCGAGAGGAGTGATGGTAAGCGAAGCGTCGAGTGCGTAAACAATGCCGAAGTACTGTCTCTTTTGTCTTCTCCATTCCACATCCTCCCTTCCCCCACTACCTTCGCCCCCACACCAGCTTCTTCCTCTCCCCACTACCTTCTTCGTCCGCCTCCCCCGCGCGTCGCACGGAGCAGGGGAACCCCGCGTCTTCCACAAGCTCCGCCAGCTCCGCGCGCAGCGCCTCAAGCTCCGCCGACTCCCCGCTCGCCTTCGCATTTGCGGGGGGGAAAGCAGCGGTGGCGGAAGGAGTGGCGGGAGCGGAGGCGGAAGGGGAGGCGGAAGCCTCAGGCGCGCGGAGCGAGACGGTAACAGCGGCGGATTCGGTGACGAGATTCACGCCCGCGCTAATCACGCGCGGATGCTCCGACAGCACCTGGCGGACGGCAGCGGCGCATCCCCCGCACATCATCTCGCGCACGTCCAGCAGCACCACCGCCGACGCTTCCGCTTCCGCTGCTCGCCCCGCGCCACTTCCGCCAACCTCCGCCGATCGCGCATCTGCCGCGGCGGAAGACGGCGACTGCACTCCTTCTTTCGGCGCCGCAACAGCCGATGCGCGCACGGATTTCCGCGTGCTAGGGGGAGACGTTGATTGGACTGTTGGCTGGCTGGGGCGAAGCTCGGCGCGCAATGGCACGGAACGGCGAATGGGGAGGAGCCTTAAAGAGGGATTAAGGGCTGTGAGTGAATGCGACATGCGACGCGACTGCACAATGGGCGACGATATGGCGACCCGGGGGTCGCACAATGCGGCAGTCGCGACGACCTGCACTGCGGCCATGGCGGGCAGGGTGATAAGACCGCAATTTACAGCTTGGAACCGCAGTCGGCTGAAAATGGCGGCTGGCGGCTCCTGCGGAACCCTCACAGGAGCGCCACACTTGTGGAGGCAAAACCAGCGAATTGGCCAGAATACTATTAGTGAACTGTATTTATTTTGGGTCGCAGCAAAAAGGCGAGTGACAGTGGGGATGAAGGGGAAGGTGGGGTGTTCGGAAAATTGCGGGATGGCGAGGCGACGATCGCAAGGCGTGCGATTTTTGCCCTGCGACGAAGCCCGTTTGGGCGGGTGAGGAGATTGGAAATATCGATTGCCACGCGGCATTCTTTGGATGGTTGGAAGGGGTTGCGTGAGAGCGTGTGCGACTGGCAGCTGGATTCCCCTCACGCTGGTTCCTCACCTCATCCTCCGAGCGCCCCGATTTCCCCAATCAGTGCCAGCATATGCGCAAGTTCTCCCCTTCCCTCCGCCACCAGCGCGACAAGAGGCCCTGCAGAAAAGTCCGTTTTGCTGGAAATTCACATTTGGTACATTGGTGATGAGATTGTATAACATTTTGTGCTTTACTGTTGCGCCAGCTGTCAGAAACGGGTACAAATTCCTTGGAACCCTTTCCCCTTTTTGTTGAGTGCAGCTCACGCAGAGGGATGCCAGCAAGGATCAAACGGATATTCCCTCGATTCCTCCACGGCTCATCACTCCGCTTTCGCCTTCAGCTTCGGGAAAATAGAGAGTATTGAAATTGTACGAGATAGTGACCTCGTACTCAGCGTAGCTTGGGCATTTGGCTAGGCCGTTCAGTGACACCGAAGTCGCTTTGGTATTTCCCTTTGGCGGTGACGGACATTTGGAGCGCGGGCCGATTCCTTGTTGTCTCGCACGTTCATCGTCCGAATCCACTGCTCGCAATGGCCGATACAGTAACCTTCGGATCCATCAGCCATGGCCAGATGTCGTTCCATAACTGGCTGATCCAATCGCGATACGGTATGCTGAAGTGATCGACCCCCTTGTTTGTCTCAACATACGCCGGTAGACACTCTAATCCCAGGTTTTTGTTTAGTATCGTTTAAAGCCTACACGTTTCGCCTCACCGTAATTGCTATGTTTTACTCTTCTTTAGAATATAACAAATTCTATTTCGCCCATTTTCTCTGTTATCTCGTTTCCCGTCCCCTTCCACCAACCATTGGGCGCAGTGAACGGCGAGGATGACGCGCAGGGGAGGCGGAGGAAGGGCAAGGCGCGCAGCACCAAGGGGGAAGAGCACGACCCGCGCAACGCCCAGGCGCATTCTCACGGTGAGATGGGTGGCGAGGTTGCTTGCTCCCATTTTTTGTCAGCTACGGCTCGCACGTGGTCACCACGTGTCACACCCTCGCAATCCGCTTGAGCTGCAACAGCAGTCATTGTTGTCACTTACCCTCGCTCCAAAAACAGTTTTTTTCTTTCTTTCTTTCTTTCTTTTTCTCATTGGTCCCCCCACCCCGCTGCAGCCGTGATCGCCTCGTCTCTCATGCTACCACCAGACGCTCTGCCGCTGTCAGGCAAGGTACGTCGCAGCCATCAAATTAGTAATCTGATCAGCATCCCGCCTTCCTCTTTCTTCTCCTCCATTGTCGGATGTAAGCTCGTTGCTGATGGTTCAACAATTTTTTGTTCTTCACTTGTCCCTCGATCTCCTCTGAACCCCCCCTGCACCCATCTCCTCCCCTTACCTGCGCGCATCAGCGCAAGGCGAGGCGGTGGGTGAACGAAAGGCTGCTAAAGGAAATGGTGGAGCTTAGAAGAAGTCTCAAAAACCTTCAGACTTCTTTTTCTCCCTTCGGACTTCCCTCTTTGCCGTTGCGACGTACATCAGCGCAAGGCGAGGCGGTGGGTGAACGAGAGGCTGCTCAAGGACATGGCGGGGCCGCTCACTGGCCCTTATTGAAACATCTCAAGAGTCCTCCTTTGCCCCGCCCCCTCTGCAAACCTCCCTCTTTGCCATCAGCGCAAGGCGAGGCGGTGGGTGAACGAGCGGCTGCTCAAGGACATGGCGGGGCCGCTCACTGGGCCCTCGTGAGACGTCTCATAGTCCCCCCTCTATCCTTCTCCTTGCCAAACCTACCTCCCCCCTCCGTACCTCCCTCTCCTCCCATTGTGTTTTCATTGCATCAGCGCAAGGCGCGGCGGTGGGTGAACGAGAGGCTGCTCAAGGACATGGCGGGGCCGCTTACTGGCCCTGACGTCACCTCGCTCTACGCACCGCCACCTTGGGGTAAGCATCACGTCTCGTCACTCTGAGTGTCGCCGCCCCTGGGTAGGTTGTCCTAGCTGCCGTAGCTATGCTGTTTTACCTCTGCCCTCTTGCGTCTTCCATCTTGCTCTCGCCTCCCTGATCTACTGCCATTTTCCTCCCCATCCTTGCCTCATCTCTCCATGCAGGCGAGACGACATAGCGGCCGGTGCTGGAGAGACTGTCTGACGTGACGCTCGCCACGGCCTTTGAGGCGCCCCTGGGTAGCTGTGCTCTCCCTCAGCGCATCGTTATTATATCCCCTTGCCTCATCTCTCCGCGCAGGAGAGAAAACGGAGCGGCCAGTGCTGGAGCGGCTGTCAGATGTGGCTGTCGCCACGCCCTTTGAGGCCTTCGTGTGCCAGCAGTACCTTGCAGGGGCGACATTTAACAAGGTGCGTCTAGTACTATCAAGTAGAGGACCGCCCCTTGCCACACGGAGTTTAGCATGGAGTTTAGCTTGCCACATGGAGTTTCACGCAGTGAAATGTTCTCTGGATGGACGAGCTAGCTAATCCCCTCCGTGTCCTCTCATCTGTCTCTGTCACTCACTCCACACCCCCCCGCCTGCGGCCACAGCTGCCGTCCCGCAAGGCCAGGAGCAAGCAGTCTCGGGAGCAGGCTAGCAGCAGCACCCAGCATCCAGCGGCAGCAGCAGGAGGGGGAGCAGGAGCAGCGGTGGCGGCATCACAGGCAGCATGGAGGCGCGTGCCGGAGGCAGCTAGAGGGGCCATGCGGCGCGCTGCAGGCTGGGTGGTGGTGGGGACGATTGAGGTGAGTGGAAACACTCGTGGTAGGATATGTGCTTGTACCAAGTACGTGCATGCTCTGTGACTCTTGAGGTCAGTGCACCCAGGTTTTCGCACCAGTAGGAGGGGCACCAGCAGGAGCAGCAGCAGCAGGAGGGGGAGCAGCGGTGGCGGCATCACAGGCGGCATGGAGGCGGGTGCCGGAGGCAGCTAGAGGGGTGATGCGACGCGCTGCAGGCTGGGTTGTGGTGGGGACCGTTGAGGTGAGGGCGGGCAGTTAGTGTGTGATATGTGATGTTATGTGCTTGTATTGAGGCCCATGTTTATCAGCTTTGTTGCCTACTCGGGCGTTCCCCATCCTGTCTGACGTGTCTTGCTGACCCCACCACCCCGGTCCTTCCCGCCCCCTCAGTCTCTGCTGGTTGCGTTCCTGCAACTGCCACCTGCTGTTGCTGCTGCCACCGCTGGTGCCACGTGTGACTATACGGAGATCAGCTCAGCCGCCCGAAGAAGCCGTTTCCATCCTCTTTGACTCGTCTTGCTCACCCCACCAACCCGATCCTTCCCACTCCCTCAGGCTCTGCTGGTTGCGTTCCTGCAACCGCCACCTGCTGCTGCTGCTGCTGCTGCCACCACTGTTGCCACGAGCAGCACAGTGGACGAATCTTGCAGTGGCAGGGGAGAGCTGAGCAGTGAGGATGGCAGGGGGGACGGCAGCAGCACTGTGTCGTGCACAGCAGGCGTTTCTGGGGATGGTGGAATGGATGGACAACAGCAGCAACAGATGGAAATGGCGCAGGTGGAGGGTGGAGAGGGGGTGCAGGAAGGGAGTGGAAGCGGGATTGGGAGTGTGTTGCCGGAGTGGTGTGTTCAGGCGGCATGGGGTGACGTGGAGAGTGCATTGGAGGCACATGGAGGGAAGTTGAAGGGGGGCGTGAGGGGCGGTGCAGGGGCAGCAGAGGGGGAGGCAGAAAGGGGTGGTGCGGGGAGGGGAGGGGAGGGGCGGCAGGTGCTGGTGTTTGCAGCAGACGATGCCTTTTTGAGACTGCTGCTGCATGGCATGTGCCAGGTGGGTGGGTGGTGCACGGCATGTGCCAGGTGGGTGGGTGGTGCATGGTATGTGCTAGCTGGGTAATGCACGGCGTGTATCTGTGCGGGGAGGCGAGGGCAGGGAAGGCAGGTGCTGTGCTGGTGTTTGCTGCAAATGATGCCTTTCTGAGACTGCTGCACGACATGTGCCAGGTGGGTGGTGAGTGTATGGCGTGTGCCAGGTGGGTTGTGAGTGTATGGCGTGTGCCAGGTGGGTGGTGAGTGTATGGCGTGTGCCAGGTGGGTGGTGAGTGTATGGCGTGTGCCAAGTGGGCAGCCGAGGGTGTGCTGTTACGCGATGCTCTTCCATCCTTATCCATTTCACTCCACTTGAAGATGCTGCACTCCTTACATCAACATTCGTTCTCTCGGCCTCTCCACTGCTCTCCACCGCTCCCCCTCTCCCAGTCCTGTCATTTTCCTCCTCCCTCTCTTTCCCCCTCCCCCCCCCCCCCCCCCACCACCAGTTCCACGGAATGCGCTCACTCTCCCTTCCTGCAGCCAGCCTACCAGCCCACCTCCTCCTCTCCTTCCCCTCCCACCTCGCACCCTCCACTCTCACCGTCACCTGGCTTCCCCCCCCCCTGCCCTCTCAGCCATCCCCCTCTGCCTCCCCATCACAACCGCATGAGCTGCCCCTTCTGGCGCCACAAGAAAGTAATCCTGTTACCGCGGACCACCCTGCCTGGCCCTCGCATCACATTCGCCTGCACCACATACTGCCTGCCTGCCCCCTGCCGGTCCCCACGTAGTACCTTAATTGCCTCAAGAATGTAACCCTGTTACAGCAGACCACCCTGACTCGCCCTCTTATCGCATTCGCCTGTGCCACGTACTGCCGGCCTGCCCACTGGCTCTCCTGGCGTAGTGGCTTCGTTTCGAGTTATGAACTTGAAATGCTGCAGTGTACTGTACTGCACTAATTCGCATACCGTAATTGATCTGATTCACATATGCCACGTGTTCTATTGCGTACACTACTGTCATCGCCCGGATATAAGACATACATGTCTTATCTCGTACACTAGAAAAAATGCTTGGGTTATCTTGTATTTGGGGAGGTTTTGGGTGTCTTATACCCGTATGGCCCCGGATATAGGCGCCGTCCGATTAAGAGCGCCGGCGCTTCTATCTGGAGCATGGCGCTTATGGCCGGAACTCGATTATAAGCGCCCCCCCTCTAGAGGGTGTAATTATTTTAAGCGCACTCCTTTCACGTTGTGGAGGTTTCATTACGAAATATGAACAACAATTAACACTGAACATGAACATGATAAATTTTCACCTACAACATACAGTTTTATAGACACTAACACTGACACTAAACTAGAAATTGCTAAGTTTAGCATTTCTACCTAGAAAATCTACTCCTCGTCGGATTCGGGCTCCTGGCAGTTGTTGCCAAAGAAGCCATCGGCGATGATGGAATCATCGACGTCCACCTCCGCGGTCAGCTGGCTCCGCCTGTGCGCCATGGCGAGGCCGTCCTCACTGCCGTCAAGCGCGTTGCTGATGCCACAGGTGAGGAAGGTGCGCTTGATGAGGTCTACGGGCACTGCTTTCCAGGCCCGTGAGATCCACCTCACGACCACCTCTGGGGGTGGCTTCTTCAAGTTCCCTGTACCAACAGAATCACACAATATTTAGTAAGCGCAACAAAAGGGGGGACAATCATCTACGGTAAGATAGGGACTCTCGTGCCTATCATACCTGCTCTGGTTAGCTGTTCTTGGCCTTCTTCCTGAAACCACTTCTGATACTGCTGGCGGACGCTCGCCTTAAAGCTCTTGTTGATGCAGACGTCGAGGGGCTGTACCTCCGCCGTGCAGCCAGACGGGATGATCGCCGGCACGCAGTTGAGCTCGCGAAACTTCTCCTTCACCCCCTCAGTGAGGTGACCGCGGTACGAGTCCAGTACGACCATCGAGCTCCGCGCATGCTTCTCGAACCCAGGCTTTAAAAAGGGCTTGACGCTCTCCTCAAACCATAGTATGACGCCTTCCGCGTCCATCCAGCCGTTCTCGTGACACGCCACGACCACATCTGCATAACAAAGAAGCTTCTGTAAGTTTCTCGTAAAAAACAGGACCGATGAAAAGCATACAAACAAGAATCATGACTGACCAGGCGGGAACACCCCTTTCCGCACGGTCTTCCGCTTGAAAAAAACCCACGGCTTCAGCTTCATCCCGTCCGCCGTGCACGCCAACATCACGGTCACGCGCTCCTTCTGGTACCCCGCGCTCCTGATGGGCACCGACCGAACACCGGTTTGATCGACGGTAGTGGTGGCGGGCATCTCCAGCCACAGCGGCGTCTGGTCGGCGTTGATAATCCACGTCGTCTCGATGCCGCGCTCCCGACGCTTGTCACGGAAGAATTGCCAGAACTTCTTGCACTGCTCAACGACATCTGTGGTTGAGCACAGTTATGGTTAGTGAGTAACAAGTGCATACACATGGCATAGAGAATAAAATTGATTCTTACGGGCGGCGGTTTTCTGGGCGACCTTCGTCTTCATTCGCACGCTGAGATTCCACCGCCGACGGAACCGGTCCGACCACCATTGGCTCCCTTTCCACTTCATGAGGGGGTAGAGAATCTTCATGAACTCCCGGGACCACTCCTGCAGGCGGCCGACGGACACCGCAGTTCCCTTGCGTCGCCAGTCGAGCAGTCGCTCATACACCTTGATCTCCATTGGGCGGTACCACGACGCCCTGCCGCGACCGTGCATGCGGCACCTGGCAGAGTGGGCTTCCTTGAGGAAATCAGCGGCACGCTTCCAGTTGGCTAGGCACGTGCGGTGGATGCCACTCTCGCGAGCCAGAGCGCGCACCGACACCGCCACATCCAGCTGCGCGACCCACTTCAACTTCTCGGCGGCAGTATAGACCTGGCGCTTGTGGTCGTTGGGCTTGTGCCTGGGAGAGGGGGGGCGAGAATCACGGTTCTGTGAAGAAGGGTGAGGTCGCTTTCGATTACGTGGAGGATAAGTTGGTATCAGGAGTTTCTCGGGGAGGCCATCGCGTGACCAGTATTCGACGCCGTCGTCGTCGTCACCGCCCGGCGCACCCTCGGGAAACTCATCCTCAGCAGTGCCGGCCTCAGTAGCGGCCTCGGTGTCGGCCTCAGTGCCACCCTCGGCGCCGGCGTTGCCCTCAGCGCGCCAATCTTCCTCGGCGTCTTGCACGTCGTCGTCGGCGCCGACTGCAGATTCGTCCCACGTGAAATCTTCTGGCTGGCCCCAACATGGTGCTGGCCTGGAGCGGGTACGTCAACATCGGGGCCCTTGTCATAATCCGGTTCCGACAGATACTCGTCGAACGCCGATGGGAACAGGAGCGTGAGCACGGGGTGGTTGTCGATGTGAAGGGCCACCGGACACGGAGGAGACGGAGGAACAAGAGGAGTAGGGAGAGTCGGAGGCACTGGAGGAGCCGGAGGAGCAGGCGGCGCAGGAGGCGCAGGAGGCTATGGTGGCTCTGGAGGGTCTGGAGGTATGCAACTATACCACGCGTCAGCTGTAACACGGTACGCGGGCCTACTGGAAGGTTTTTTCTTGAAGAGAAAATGAGTGCCTGTGAATTCCGCCATGGCTTCCGCAGCCAGGTGGGCGAGAACAAGAAGACTGAATAAAAAACTGCAACCCTGGGTGTTGAAATGGGAGATTGAAGGGGACCCCTTCTGGTTTGCGGCTCGGGGTCCTTGTCGATGAGATACGAGTACACCCCTGCCCCAACCCGCAGAGGAGGGTTGGGGGCACCATCCATGCTGCGCTGGCACGGCAGATTCCATCACGTTCTGGATGGTTTTGCCGAGATGCTCCTGCCCGGCAGCGCATGCCAACCTGATTGGGCCGCACGGCAGGTTTTGCATCAGCGCTGGCAAGTGCGTTGCACCGGGACGGGTTTTGTGCGGTGGGAAATCGAACCGTGGCAAGTTTCGCTATCATTCCATGCATGACCCCGCGCGCATGGTACATTGTTGTATTCGCCTTATTGAGGGCTTCAGAATGATATCCTTTACATTGAAATTCAGTTTTGCCTTTATAAAAGCGCCGGCGCTTATGGCCGTTACTCAATTACAAGCGCCCCCCCTAAAAATATATATGAATTTATTATAAGCGCATATGCGCTACTATCCGGGGTATTACGGTAAGTCTTATAAATGGAAACTTTTTAAACTACTTCAAAAACAATTCACACATTTTGAAGAGAGTTTCTCATAATGAGTGTAAATGTTGCGAAGGTGCCACTTCGACAACCATTGTTCGGGAAGCCACGCCATGGAAAACACTTGCAGAGGCAAAATTTGGTAGTACGTGCCTCAGTTAACACGTGGAAGAATTCGCGCATCGCAAGGGTAAAAATGTACGCGGTATTTCAAGTTTCACTATAATATGTTGCAATTTCGATTATACGACACCAGGGCTAGTTTTATCAGTGTAAATCACCCTGATACAGTGATAATCATGGTGGTTTTTGGTAGTCACACTGATGCCTTCGGGTAACTTTTTCTAGAGCTGAGATTTTCCTGATATGTCAGGGTTTACGTTCAAGGCACATTGTCACCCCAGGGTTACCGTTCTTCTTAGCGAGTTTTACCCTGAAGCGAATACCACCCCCCCCCTCCCCCCCCCCCCCATCCCACCCCCGCACTTATGTCCCCCTGATGAGAAATCTGAAGTAGTAGAATATGTTGTTCAAAAACTCATGTTGAAGTGGCCTGGTCAATAGATTGGTCCATGGAAGGATGAAGACCCGACTTCAACTTCTGGATACGATGTCTTATGTTCGGAACTTTAGTAGAAACACTTCATCAGGGATCTGAAAAATGTTACACTGTGGCCTTAGGGTAAAAATTTTGGAAGTATGGAAAACCCTGATGGAAAATAATTTTCCCAAGGGGTCACACAGATCATCTGGGTTTTGCAAAGGTGCAAGACTGATAATAAGGGTTGCTGAAAATAAAAAATTAGCCCTGTACGACACATATGTCTTATCTCGTACACACAAATAGGTGTCTTATAATGAGGCTTGTCAT